AACGACGGGAAGGAGTAGGAGTACAACGACGGGAAGGAGTAGGAGTACAACGACGGGAAGGAGTAGGAGTACAACGACCGGAAGGAGTAGAACAACCGGAAGGAGTAGAACAACCGGAAGCAGTACAACGATCGGAAGCAGTACAACGACCGGAAGGAGTAGAACGACTGGAAATCAAGGTAGTCATGCTTTGGTAGCGTAGGTTGTTGGGACGGTAATAGGACTGCTGCACTGATGGCAGATGTGAGAGACAGAGCCTTCACAGATGATTTTGAATGCTGAAAAGAAAGTGTGTGTGTATCGTCGCACAACATATTCATTGTATCCTCGCCACTGATGGCCCAAGCTCGATTCATTGAAGCTGGGGTGCAATACAGGAAGCTTATGAAGAAAACGGCCCTGCCTGAGCGAACGTTGGTGACTGCAGCACGTTTCGGCTGGCTATTTGACTTCGTTGTCCAATGCAAACTCTCAAGCCCTGTTGGGACGAGCTTTTCTCGGAGACTCTGCGATTGGAAAAAGGAATTGACTCAAAATGCTGAATGAGAACAAAGTCTGATTTGATATCTGTTGTTGAACTGAAATCGCTGCACAAAATCATGCTATCGAATGGTTGGCGCCCGAACTGTGCGAAAGAGGCAAGACAGGGAAGCGTCGACGCACATCATGAAATACATTTCGTTCGATATACAGGCAGCCATTACTCTGAACTATATTTTGACACTATATCAATACGTTCCTTCTCGTCTCGTCTCATCAACGTCTTTCGCGCACATACCTTTCCAACGACGCTCCACTGGGACCTACTTACTCGACATCCAGCCCTGGCCTGAACGTCTTCACATTAAACGCCCTCCTGACCGCCAGCCCGACCTGCGCGAACCCGACAACCTGGTTATGCCCACCGTACCTCACAACCTCCAGCTCCACGGTCCTCTTCCCGTCGGCGTCCTCCACCCTCCTGTACGCAAATGCGCCCCTCTTCACCCTGTCCCCGCCGTGGATGCTGCGGCGCTCGTGGTCTGAGATTACGTTCTCCTCTCCGAGGAAAGACTTCTCCAGCGAGGTGAACAGCTTCTCGCTGGTCTGGTACCCAATGTCCTGGTCGTTTCGCGCGTGAATGATGCGAATGTGCGTCGACGCCGGAGTCTTCGTGGAGGAGATCAGGGCGCGCAGGCGGTCCTGCGTGGGCCAGTGGTCGAGGATCTTGGATTCCAGGAATCTGGCTATGCGCGGGTATGGTTGCAAGGGCTTGAGCACAGGGAATATCCCGGCCATGTTGTATGTTTTCAAGAGCTCCGGGAGGTTCGAGAAGGGTGCCACGAGGATAATTGCAGCGAAGGATATCGGCTCTTTTGGTGCTGGTGGGGAGATGGTGGTGGCGAGCGTGGAGGGAAGGTAGACGGATGTTGGGTCCGTGAAGTAGAGGGCTGAAGCGGCTGTAACAGCGGTTCCAAGACTCTGGCCAAGGAGAACCGTACGGTCGGCAGGGTGTTTGAGCGTGTGGAGGACGTAGTTGATCATGCTTATTGCATCCGTAATTAGTCCGGTCTCGGTGGGAATATGGGGCGCATTGTTGAGAGTCGATATACCAAATCCACGATAGTCGCACGTTATGAGATGAGTGTGGGATATCCCAGATATGGAACGGTAGGTCGCTGGCCGATATCCCTGCGCCAGGTGGCCAGCATTCTAGAAGCCATCAGAAACTTTCCAAAACGAGTAACAAGACCAATGCATGGTTGAAAGCCCTGTTCAAGGATAGGGCAAAAAAAAGACAAATTTGGGAAGGGGGGGTTAACGTTATTGCACTTACCCCGTGGAAGTTGACAACCACTTTGCTCTTCGAGTCTCTCTTGAAAAGCTTGTAGCCCACCGTCTTCGTCAGGTCCTCTACGACCAAACCTGTGACGGTTTCTTGAACCAATTCCGCTTCGTTCTCCAGGTAGACGTCCATCGGCAATACATGCCAGCAATGCAGTGTCTCATCGTCACTCGTTTGGAGATGAAAAGGCGCCACCTGACCCTCTACACATGATGTCAGTCATTACCGAGACTTTCCTGGAGCATATAGCTCTTGCAACATTCTAAAATTATGTCGAGAGGAAGAACCTACTAGCAAACCCAAATTCTTCAGGGTTCGAAACATTATTCCAGAACCCTGTATGCAACTTATGTGCATACAATGCACTTCCATCACATCAGCATATCGTTCTTAAATTTCCAATGTACACTTACTGCCGCTGAATGGTGGGATTGATCAGCGCGATCAGGAAGGATGCCCATATCGCACCTACGCCTGCTAATACATAGTAGGACTGTTTGAGGATGGGCTTGAGCTGAGGCATTGTGGATGTGGGGTCGCCCTTGGGATGAGAGGAAAGATGACGCCCTTTAAAAACAGGCAATTCAAGAAAGGAGCAAAGAAATCTGTGTTGTTACAATGTTGTACAGTCCATAGTCGTCATACAGAGTTGGTGCACGAAGAGAGATGTTTGGCCTCGGACGTCGTGGAGTTGGATGCGATAACAACGACACTAGTCCCGAATTGGCAGCTGGGTTGAATTCGGCAGAGCGCTGCTTTGGTGCTTTGGTCTGTGGCCAGTTGCAATCAGTGTCAATCTTGGTAATTTAGAAGGGGAGTGTATGGCCAAGTCCATGCTCTGCAAATATGGGGATTGAGCATGAAAAAGCGGAATAAATCAGTTTTCTAATATCAGTTCCAGTAGCATGCGCGGAGGAGAGTATGGGCAGTAGATAGCAGCAAATATGGACCAAGCTTTGAAATTTGGTATGGATTTGACAGTAAAAACTAGGACAAATAGATCGATTGCTCGATTCAAGAATGCTATAATCCTATCACGCAAAAATAATTCCTTCAATCGCCCCGTGGATCAAAACGATGCACAAGGCAAGTTTATGTCTCTCCTCAAAATGAGCCTCTGGTCGGTGCAATCTTTGGGCTTATAGGGCAGTTGGACGTTTTCCCCCTTATAACGCCCGCAATGCAAAGATGAACAGATATGGGCAAAAATACTGAAAAACGCATACCCCCTTTTCTTGAGGTAGCGAAAGCACATGTTGTACAAACGGACTTTGGTTGATGGAGAAGGTCTTGGTTATATCTCGAAAGACACCAAACTCCTCTAGTCATACCTGGGATCTTCATCATAACCGCTCGGTGCGGGTGTCTCTGGCGCCGCCCAGGCTCCTGGTGTCGGTGCTGCAGCAGGCGTCGCAGCTGCCCCGTATCCACCATAACCCTTCGACAGACCAGTGGTATTGCCAGGTGTAGGCGCAGTGAAATTCCCGGGCGTAGGCGCGTCTACTGGGCCAGGCGTTGGGGCCGTAAGTCCATAGTCGCCTGGTGTAGGGGCATAAGCAGCTGGGGTTGGGGCGCTATAACCTCCTGGGGTGGGTGCAGAAAGATTGGTCCTGGAGTTTGATGATGAGTTGCCGCCCCAGGATGGACCTGGTGTGCGTCCACCAGCATGGAAGCCTCCGCCGTATGCGGTTCGTGCGCCATCGTTTCCGCCATAAGATGTTGTTGCTCCACCATAGGATGTTCCGCCGCCATATGAAGTTCTTGCACCGTCACCGCCATATGCAGTGCGAGATCCGTCGCCGCCATAAGCCGTTCGACTTCCGTCTCCTCCGTATGATGTGCGGTCACCGCCGCCCCATCCTGGAGTACGGCCACCTCCAACCCCACCCCAACCTGGAGTACGACCCCCTGAAGGTGTTGCACCCCACGAAGGGCCATCGCGTTTCGATCCCCAGCCTGGAGTGCGTCCACTGTTGTGGTTTGGTGTGGCGCCGGGATAGCCTCCTCCACGCGATCTGTTGGGGAACTTGCCACCGCCGTAGTCCATGCTTTGGCCAGTGAGAGGATCTTTAATGGTGAGTAGCTCCCTCTTGATTGTGATCTGCTTGTTCTTCGTGTGCAGTTCAATGCGAGCGTCACTTCCATTTGTATCCTTCACGATACCCAGGAGACCTTTGTAGGGTCCCTTACGGATGACGATGGTCTTGCCAATCATCTTGTCGCGACCCATCGAGCGAGGAGGAGGCATAGCACCGGCATTTGGACCTTGTGGCTGCATGCCAGGATTCAATTTGGAGAGATCAGGCCCAGATGCTTGAGCACGTCCACTCTTAGCCGCCATAGTAGTGACGTTTTGGCCTCGAACAACAAAGAGACCGCCATTCTCAAGGATCTCTCGGTTCTGGACGAACAAAAGCCCTCTGTGAATGTAAATGACCTTTCCTTGTCTCCCCTCTCCACCATGCTCTTTGACAGTGTCGTCATTTCGGATCTCGGCGCCGTCACGATCGGTAGCAACGGCGTTACGATTCCTGCCAACAATAGTGGAGACCTGGGTGTGCAGGATATTTCGGACGTTGGCGTTCTGATCAAGAACACGCAAGATCTCACGGTCGACCTTGATGACGCACCCAACAGTAGCAGCACTGACAGTAAAATTAGCAATGATAAAGACATTGTGAGCAGGAGAAACTTACTCAATCTGCACCAGGTCGTATAGCTCGAAATTGGAATCAGTTCCCAGTGTAGCAGAGTCGGCAGCACGCTTCAAGTCTTTGCTGAACACCGTAATCTCGGTTTGGGTAGAATCGCAAAGCAGCGTCACCTTATCATCGCGTATCTTCGTGACCATACCCACTTCATCGATATATTTGCTGCCACCAATGACCTTCACGTGGTCACCGTCGCGGAAAAGCTTTCGTAGAGTTTTCACTGGGGCTTCAATGCTTCTGCCCTTAAGGTCGCCCTCTAAAACTTTGAGTGTAACAATGTCGCCCGTGACGGACACCGTAGTACCGCGAATGCCCTTCTGCTCACCATCATAGATCTCAACATTGTCGCCACTGATGAATGAAGATCCTGACTGAGCAGCTTTCTGGGCAGCTTGAACAGCTACGAGATCCAATGTTTCCGTTCCATCGGCACCTGTGACGGCAAAGAACTGCATCTCTTCCATCTTGGGGTTGACGTTTTCTGCACTGACAAAGTTGACCTTCACATCCTTGATCAAGAAGCCACCTTGATAGTCTTCACCCTTATAAGTGAAATGCCGAGATCCAGCAGACCCCTGTACACTGAGATGCTTCATGTGCCTCTTTCTGGCTTCGACATCATTGAAAAGCTTCTGGGGCGGACGTTCGACGGTTCGACCAAACATGGGACGCTTGCGCTTGGCTCCATCGGCAGCATTTGCATCCTCTCCGAGTCCGTAATCCAGACGAGGCACGAGTTGGACGGTGCAGTCAAGACCATTTGAGTGCACCTCCACAACTTTTGCCAAATCACCACGGTATAGAGGAGGACGAACCATGCGGACGAATTTTCCTTCCTCGAGAGGCGTACGCTTGCGTTTCCGAAGCAGATCCGGTCGCTCTTTGACCTCGATAGCGATCTGTGGCTGGCTCATGAATATGTTCTGGACACCATCGATGAGGGAGAGCATATCCTGTTTCGCATCTGCCTCAAGATACATATAGCCCGTCATGGTACCGCCGCGCTCGAATGCCGAGTAAACTCCAATTTGTCGACCAGCTCGCGCATAATCGTCGATCTTCTTTGTAAGGGCCATGACGATCTCCCTCTCCTTGCCTGGCCTGACTTTGATAGCCCAGATCGAGGGATCATTGACAGTAGGCAGAGAGAGAGGAACGGCACCAGCTGCACCTCGCGAGGCTGCTTGCATTTGTCTCCGCCTGAACTTCTCTTCAAATTGTTTCGCAATCTGTTCGGCATCTTGTTGATCATTGGCCTGTCGCTTCAAGTCCAATTCGCGATGGCGGCGGTCGTCAAGATCGGCAGCGGTTTGTTCCAAAAGATCGTCCGGGTGTACCTCATCGACGACCTCATCGTCACCTTCCTCCTCCTCGTCTTCCTCGTCATCGACTTCGGCTTCGACATCGAGGAAGACGTTTCGCCTTGCCTTCTTCCTGCGCTTGTGTGGGCGTTGCTGCTTCGTGTTAGCGAAATTTGGGTAAAGTTGGGAGAGCCCAGGCATACCACTACGTCTTCCTCATCCTCGTCCTCTTCCTCTTCCTCCTCGTCATCCTCGTTCTCTTCATCGTCGTCGCCTCCTCCATCTTCCTCCTCATCCTCTTCATCATCGTCCACGCGTTTTCGGGGCGCAGAAGGTTCCTCATCACCTTCGTCATCGTCATCCTCTACGGCAGGCCTTCGCTTTACAGCATTGCTCGCTCGGACATCCTCATCATCAATCTCGGGCGCGGGATTGAAGTCATCATCGTCTGACTCTGACCCACTACGGTTGTCGTAGCCAGACATGATGTTGTGGTGCAGTGAAACTGCGACGGGTCGAGGAGCTTGCGCGAGAGGAGCTGGCTGTGATGCGGAGTTGACACGGTGGCGAGGTTGCAATGTAGGTGGTGGGAGGTTGGAATCTGAAAATACACGTTCGCGCTCCTGTAATAGAATGAGAGGAGGGGGTTGAGAGGATAAGAAGAAAGGGTGATGGACGGGTGAGAGCAGCGGTGGGCTTTGTTATGTGGTCATTGAGCAAGTGAGCATTCGAAAGTTGTGCACGGACGACTTGGCATTGTCCCTCGGGGGAGCAACGCTCTCCGAGGAACAAAATGAAACCACCGGCTTGCTCGCAGGAATAATGCGACAATGGACAATAGGTATTGTATTCACCTAGGCAGCAACAAGGATACAACGACAAATTGAATTCACATTTGCTCCACATTCATCTCGTTTGAGGTGCAAAGTCCTTCACACACACTCACAATCGAGCCTTGAGTTCCCTTTCTGCCTCCTCATTGATCCGTACAATCGCCCTCCCCCATACAGTGTGTTTTCCTAGGTCAATTAATGCCTGTGATACAGACTCAAGTCCGACGTAGTTCTTCTTATAGATGATTGGTTTGATACTTTCTTTCACCACCAAATCCATAAAACCATTCCAGACCTCCTCTGTTCTGGTTGGATCCTGGCGGCCGTCCTCGCCGAACCTCTAAATGAAGCAGTTAGGCGGCTGATTCTCGATGTTGGGAAGCGATCAGGACTCACATATCCATGCACCATGGCAGACTTCAAAAGGATCCGGTTTGCCTGTATATTTTCCATTTTCCCTTCTCTGGCAGCGAACCCAACGATCACAAGTCTTCCTCGATATCTCAAGCACCTCAGTCCACTTTCGACCGCTCCGATCGCATCATATACCACATGAACACCCTGCCCATCCTCAGTCATTGCCTTGACCTTGTTCTCCCAATCCTTCTCATGATAGTCGACGACGCCGTCCGCTCCTGTACTCTTAATCATCCGCGCCTTTTCCTCGTCGCCAACAACGGCAATCACCTTGGCCCCGAGTGCCTTTGCAATCTGCACAGCCATCACCCCCAACCCGCCAGAGGCCCCCAAAATCAACGCAGTCTCACCCCGCTTTAAATTCGCTACTGACACCAGACTGCCCCAGCTAATGGCTCCAGAGGCGCCTACAGCGCAAGCCTCAGCGTTGGTCCATTGCTTAGGGACCTCCCGCAAGCCGTTCTCGTCGGCATAGATGTGCTCTGCAAAGGAACCAAGCGTGGCGCCGAAAACCCGTGTTCCTGGTCTCAGACTTGATGACGGCGGTGCTGATGTTACGATCCCGGCAAATTCGTTTCCTCTGAAATCAATCAATCAATCAGCAAACACGAAGCTTCCAAAATTATGATGGCCAAACTTCAAGATCGAGCAGACAAATGATCGACGCTTGTCGCGAATAGACTGCAAGGCTGCAAGCAGACTCACAATATGAATGGCGGTTTCACATGTCGACCATTGTTCTGATGTAAACCTTGCGCATATAACATATCCACATGTGTCAAGGCTGCATGTGTGATTTGAACTCCAATGTCACGCGGACCCTTGGGTTTTGGAGAGGGAACATCTTTTGGGCTCAATGTTGCGAGGTCCTGTGATTTCACAAATAATCAGAGATCAAGCTACTAGTAGGTTCAGAACTCTTACCCTCACAAACTCATCTATGCGTATGGCTTTCATGTTTCAGGAGATGCTCGGGATTCGCTGATCTTTGCAGCAATGTCCATTATTATAGGTGGATGTCTTCATCGGCCTCGCTTTGTAGGTATATCGATGGGTTTGGAGATGCGCTACGGGAGATCGACAGTGGGGTCGAATTGCCGAGGTTTGGATACAAGCGCAAAGTCGAAGACAGACTCGACCAACTCGGCTCTTCACTTCCGACTTATTCGGGATTCCGAGGAAGATTGAAATCGATATGCATTTAGAAACTACCTTGGTCCGAGATTACAGAGCATAGATCCAAACATGAACTCAAAAGTGTGTCATAATAGAAGAAGTTCTTCTTTTCGAAAGTGGCAAGTGTACAAAACAAAAGGTAAACAATGAAATAAACTAGCCAAGGCTGTTTCGAGAAAGCGTTGCGCCGTAACTTCGTGGGCACATGCGAACATGCGAGAATCGAATTGGTCTAGACGCTCAAAAGATATCCGCCCAAGTTGTCCAAGGTGCCGCACGCTAGATAAGCTGAGATCGTGTCGCCATGCAATTAGACCGCCAAAAGGGAAGCTTGGGAAAATGTATATACATAGTCGCATAAAGTCATCAAGGCATAAATCCGAATGTGTGGTTAAAATCTGGAGACAAGAATCGGACATGGCCAGGTCAGCTAGTATTGGGTCGATTCGCATCCTGGTCGATACAGTTCGCGTTCTGGTGTACGTATCTGGAGAGGCCGTGCATCGGACAAGAAACGTTTGATAGTTATGTATGGGAGGCAGATGATCCAGGCTATGCAGGCCTATGATAGAGGTGCGTTCAGGGATACTTAGAATAGCAAGTACGGCGCACCTAGTTGAGCGGCAACAACCATAATGTGCAGGTCGGCCATTGCTGATACATCTTGGACATATGCCAACCGGTAAGCTCCTGCCAAACGCTGTCCAATGTCCGTCTTGCGAGGAGCTGCCCACACTCCTTGATGCGTGCTTGTGTATGCAGAGCGGCACGCAAGATGACCGCTGGTCTGCCCGAACTACGGTGTAGGGTTTGATCGGTACAGGCTAAAGATGAAACCCTGCCGACATGTTCGTCTATGTGCGTGGCCGTTTTGGAGAAGACGTGTCCGCCACATCCTGGGCGAGGCGGGGCAACATCATTTTCCATTGATCGAACCGTAGAATGGATGACATGAGTTGCGAAAAGTCCCGATTTCGATCGGAGGCATTCAGTGGACCACGAAGAATCGGAGCGACCGTTCTTTGCTTCTTGTTCATTTGTGACTATGCTCGGCGCATTGTTTTCCGATGACCCATTTCTCCCAGTGTTTACGCTGCGAATAGGTCACTGCCACGCCATCGTCCCCCAGACATTCCACACCATCTGCAAAGCTGATGCGCCCGTTGCAATTGCTGCAAGGCAAGGATGCAGGGGTATCTGGGGACATTGGCGGAAACTCCATATTGCCTCCTTGCTCTGGCTCATCAGTCCCGGCGTCTGACCCAGAATCGTACTGCGACTCTTCACTCTCATCGTAGTGGAAGTGATTGTGATCTTGAATGTCATGGTCGTCTTCCTCGTGCGTGCTCCAATCATCACTGCTTTCGTCATCAGAGCTCCCCATCAATGGATCATCGGGGACCTCGGCCCCAAGAACCCACTGCTCACCAAAGTGTTTGTCGTAGTCGATCCTCCGTAGACTGACCCAGTCCAACCTGTCCATGTTGTATCTGAGAAAGGATAGTACATCTTTCCACCGGCTCCCGTCTTTTAACAATACATCTCTTAGCCTCAAGCCACGCAAGCGTTCGCGATGCCGGCTGGCTAGGGCTATGATTTCATCTGCATCCAGTCTCCACGCCTGGATCCCGAAGGCAAGCAGTTTTTCCCATTTGACATGGTGGAATATCTCTTCAAGGCGTAGATTAAGCGGCCTATGAGAAGGGAAGCCGATATGCACAGCTTGCATGTTCTTGGCCGCGCTGAACACCACCTTAGATAATGACGATAATTCTCGCATGCGATCGTCGAGATCTATGCCGTCGTCGAAATGTAGTTCCAGACATGTCAGCCGCTCGGCAAGAAGCGTGAAAGTGTCGGACGAGTCATCGACGGAGGCGCCTAGCGCGCTCTGGGGGCTCAGCATTGGCGATGAGAATCGAGTACAGGGAGACTGGGATGCTAACAGTGCAGCACCAATGGTCTTTGTAGAATGCGAGCATGCTGGTGGCCACCGCAGCTCGACGAGTTGATTAAATTCGGCGTGCTGCCGAATATATGAGATCAGCAAGCCATCCTCCTGATCTTGAACACGGAGTATCTGGACATGCTGCAGGGAGGTGAACGCAGAGATGGCCATGTTCAGGACACGAACGTCTTCTTTTGTCTGAACGATTTCCCTTTGATCGTTCACCTTGCGTACAAAGTGACCGACGTCAAGAGGGCCAAGGCTCGAGGGAAGGGTTGGTAGCAATTCATGCACGCGCTCACGTCCTATGATCATCTTTAGCCATGCGTACACTTTCCAAAAGGGGCAATATGGACCAGACCTTCAACGTAGAAAAAGGGCACCATGTAACTGAATTTCTTGACATGTTGAGCAAGATGACGTTGGCCAGCTATGTTCTCCAGTCTCTGCAGGCCCTTGCGCGAGAATCTGGTAGTCACCCGTGTGAACTGGTGAATGGCACCAAGTTCAGAGAATCGTCTGCAGGTAAGGCGGAAGCTTGCAATGGTATATTCCTGGGAGGGATCCGGGCGTTCGGGAGGCTTGAAGCTTTCCTGGGAGAGAAAAGCACGTCGGTCCACACTGATGAGCTTGTCCGGATCGGATCCGATATGGTCGAGAATCTCACGAAGGAGTTCGTTGGACAAATTGAGGATGCCCATTGCCAGGCTAAGCAACCATTTACCGGCGGATAAATCACGAGGGATAAGTACAGTACGAGCGAGTGAGCACGGCTTGAGATCGAGTGGAGCAAAAAGGCGAGTTATGTAGAGAATTTAATGCTGGAATGCAAATGAGTGCTAGAGGGTCGGCCCGGGCGGTGTTGGTGCAGCAGCAGACAGGCGGGAGAGACTGTGGGATTTTGGGGTTTGGACCAACGAGGCGCCACGGCACTGGTAGCAATGGTTTCAGTCCTTCCGTGGAGTAGGAGGCGTGGTGTTCAAGTGCGGCGATGAGGGTGAAGATGGTGGTATGGTGTCTGGTCACAGTCTGCCTGTGTGTATGTTCCTCTTGGCCTGTCCGGGTACTATATGTCTGGGTGTCCGCGTGAACGTCTGTCTGGGGACGGGAGCGGGCGAAGAAAGCGGGATAGAGGGGCACGGTGAAGAAGCAGAAGACGAAGAAGAAGAATTAAAAAGCGGCCCTAGAGCAAACTTCGGAGCTGCACGCTGCTGTAACATGACCTCTCCGTCCAGCGGTCAGGTAAGCGTGAAATGAAGAGGTGTGGAGAACCGCTGGACACGGTAGAGGAAGACAGACATTGACAGGGAGAGAGGGAGGCAGGCCAGCCCATCCCATGCATCCAAGACATAGTGGCTACAACACAGCAAATCGAAGTCCGCACAGCTTGCTAGGTAGTCAGTCATGTGATCATTTTTGCATGCGGGAAGTAAATGGCTCCTCCCGAGCGAAAAACACTTAGGATTAGTATAATTAGTACGTATGGGTCCATGGATGATTCGAGATGGGAGTTGACTGGGGACAGCGCAACGCTTTTCGTAGCAGGGATTGTCTGTCTTAGTCGCTAAGATAGATAGATGGCTCCCCCTTCGTTCGACGACTAGTAACGACAGTAACTGACCAGATGAATGCTGTGATACAATGTCGAGGTAACTAATTGCTGTTGTTCAATATACTCTGGTGGAACCACTATGTCCGACCACGAACTCGATAGTTGTTGGTGCGTAGGTAGGATATGTTACGAGACACAAAACTACTACATGCAAACTATACCTGCTCATCCGAAAATCCTCTAACTCCTTGTGTCTGTTTACCCCACCAACTTCGTCTTGCTTTTCTCTGAATAGATCGATCTCTGGCAGAGTCGGTCTATCCGAACCATCACCACTTCAAAGAGCAGAACAGAACAGAACAGAACAGAAAAAGAAAACATACCGACATCCTTTCCGGTATGATGGCACTTCTCTTCGAATCAGTTGATGCTTCTCGCCCGAGGATCCGTCGTCATACGGTTCGATGCGTTGCCAGCGAAGCGTGCAGCGGGCCCAGGATACCAGGCGCATCATTCAAGCACCACCACACCCCCCCCCTCCTCCCCACCATACCACAGCATCGTATCTACCTACCATTAACCATTAGCTACTCGCACTATCATATTCCGTACAGCATGACGGTAGATGCACCCGCCTCCCGTGCCTCTGGAATCCCGCCCTGGTCTCCTTCTCTCTCTCAAACACTATCCCACGCCCACTCCCGTAATCCCAGTAGCCGACAACGGACACCTGCCGAATGACGACAGTACGTTTGCTGAGCATAGCCTTAGAGGGCTGAAACGTGTCTATGGGTAGCGAGTCGCGACCCTACGATGTATAGTCGCCATGCATTATGGCGAAACCCCATGAAATTGGTCCAGTGCATTTGCTATACTCGCCTCAGCTATGTGCCCCAGATCCCGACGAATCTGCCTGAGGAAGAATAGAACAAGAAGAGCCATGGTGAATTGCACTTCCCCCTCCACTCCACTGTTTTATGCCTTGCCTGGTCTCGCCTCATCTCGCCTCGCGGCAGTAACCGTAACCGCCATGACAGGTTCATCCAACGCCCCGGTCAATGCCCTGCCCTTCAACTTGCAGCAACCACTCGCAGTTCTATGGCATACACGCCAGTGTGAAAACACACACATCTCACCTCACCTCGCCCGTCATCATGCCCCCAAATATCCCGCTCTGCTTCGGTCCTAATTGCTCGTTTGCCAACAGCGCCAACAGGACGCATAATCGCGAAAAGGATCGCTGCATGCATACTTGCACATAACACATACATATTGGATTCTTAGTCTCTAATTTTTCTGCAGTCATCGATATGGGGGTGATCTTGACGCAATCCTACTTTGTACGAGGCGGGTCCCCCGAAAAGCCCGCACACCTATATACGTCAGTCTTGAGAAGAGAACCTGATTGGAAGATCCCTTGACTCTGAGTGTCGCCCAAGGTGATCCTTTCGGAGATAGCATTGTGTGAACAATGAATAGCGGCGTTCCACAGAGTCGTGTACTGTAGGTCGGGTTGTTACTCTTGAGTCTTGAACTTGAGAACTGAACTGCTGGTTGTGTGGACGTGCGTACATACACGTGCCGCTCCCCGCCCATTGGCCCAATCTTTGGAAGCGCCGGCCACATGGTACTGGCGCTCGGGCACTTATTCCACTATCTAATCTACCTACACTTATACACGGTGACACCCTGCACAGTACGAGGTGTGTACTCCATACATACACTCTTAACCGCTGAGTACCTTGGTACTGTATGTTGCGATCCAATCCACTACACGATATCGTATCGTGTGGCTTGATGGAACAGTTGGCCAGCTGTAGGTACGGAGCAGGAACCCTACAAGACAATAACAACTTCGCACAAAGTGCGTGTACACTGTGCAGTATAGCACATACATACGCCCACAACGCGGTACACCCTTTGTTCTAAGCCAAACATATCACATCATATCGCTCTCCAGCACCTAGGATGACAATCGTACGGGGTTGTAACCGCTCATGAACCAATTCCTCGAAATCCTCAGCCTTCACCAAGTTTGCCCACATCTACTGTAACCCCTTCTCATTGCAGGGAACACACGAAAAGAACGTCAGCTGTCACATATTTTACCAATGCGTACATGAATCTCACCCTGGGCTGTCAATCATTCATTGATCATAGCTACCCATCGAGCAATTGGAAAACATTCGTCTGACATATCTAACTACAATATCAACGTTGAGCTGCAACCGAATCCGCCCTCTCAGCCAATCGCCGCCGTATTTCCGTGCTACTCAATTTACTTTGAAACGTTTCGTCCACGTCCTCACCCTCTTCCTCACCAGCATCAAGCACGTCCACTTCAAAAATCTCCAACGCATGCCACCCCTGCTCGTCGCGCTTGCGGTTCACAGCTGCACCTCCGCCCCTCGTCTCCTTCGATATGACGAGAGCGGTGAGATCTTCCTCTGTGATGGTTGGCCCGAAGGGATCCCATATTTCAATGTACCTGACGACTAGATTATAGGGATAGTAGATATAAACGCCATGGCCGTTCGGTCCAGGTTCATGCTTGTGCTCGATGCGTATCCTACTGTCATCTGCCTGTCCGAAATTGATGATTGAGTCGAGGAAATTGTGTGTTGTTTCCTGACGACGCTCCCAGCTCTCGAGAACGGATGCGAATTTCTTGTTCTTGAGTAACTCGTCACCTGTCATGCCAATCGTGAGCGTTGCAGGGCTGCTATTATCGCCCAGAATGGACGTGTTACCACCCCTCTTTAGGACGAAGGCAAACATTGTAAGGAGCAACTTGTGTCCTAGATGGAGGTGGTCGAAGGTGCCACCAAGGATTACAGACTTATGGTCTTTCGCTTCAAAGACTTGCTCTTGTGATTCAGTAGTGTCAGGTGCGGAAGAGGTTGTCGATTTAGTTCCTTCCACCTCGACTATACCCCCACGGACCTTCGAAATGCTGTGCTGATGTGACGATGGCCCTAGAGAAAGGAAATTCCTCAACAACGCATCCCCTTGCTCGCTCTCGACGGAGAAGATCGTGTCCCATGGCCTTGGGCAACGTGCCAACGTATACAAGTCAATTGCCGGGCCCTGTAGTTCTTGTTCTGGGGTAGCCTCCTCGGGTGCCCGCGCCAATTGTCCATCACGAGGGTACGCAACCAATATGATGCGGGCGTCGACGCCCTCTGCATCCTCGGTGTCGATTGCGTCCTTGGCGGCGATGGTGCAGATCAGCTTGTAGAGGTTGGCTACGAGCTTTTGGGTGGTCGCATACAGTGGTCCTCTTGGGGAATTGAGTTGTCCATAGAGGTGCGGACACGGCAATGCAATGTCGAGAATGGTGGGCTTCTTCTGCTGGTGGTCACGGTGGGGATCCCTGACGAGTTGCCTCAACACGGAGAACAGACATGAGTTGTATGCGGCCTTCAGGGCGGAATACGTGGGTGGTGACGGTGCAGGGGGGAGTAGAAGCAGTGAGTGGTGAGATGGCTTGTGTGACGGGGGCATGTTGGCAAGATGTCGTAGTACGATATGAGGTTGCGCCCGTAGTTTATATGAGAATGGTGACGACGACAACGACGACGACGACAATAACAACGATGTTGATGACGATGGTGATACTGACAGTGCTTTGGAAGGTTTAGGCAATTGACGGACCAGGACAAACAGCATGAAGGGTGGTTTGACTGGGTTGAAGTATGTATGTAGGTTGTTAGTGGGGGGACGCAGGTCCTCTGACATGATTGACCGAGGTGAAGTACTTAATAGGCAATACATGCTAAGTAGGCACATCGGGTACCTACAACTACCACTTGTACCTACGAGTACCTACCTGGGCACTACTAGGGGTAATTCATACTATGCTGCAATCAGTAAATATCTGGTACGACTCTGGAGGTAAGATGGAGTAGTGTAGTCAGATGCGGTCCTCGGCAGGTGAAGTGTGATTATTTGAAGAGCCATTGCATGTTCATCATTGTTACCAAAGTATCAACTGTAACTATAACAGATGATGATCATAATAATCATAATACTCATATTGATAGTACTCTGATAGAGGGGTGATCGGTTTCCTGTCTTGGTCGGGGCTGCCAAGACTTGCGGAAATCTCCCAATATGACCCAACAGTGAAGTGAACACACCCAGACCCGACCCTGTGTTGTGTTGCCTGTCCTGTCCTGTCCTGTCCTGTCCTGTCCTGTCCTGTCTCCAATTCGCGTGCGTCAGTCAGTCCCGAAATTCCAACCCCTCAACTGCAAGAGCTACGAAACCAGCAGCAGCAACCCAAAGCAGGTACCGCTCTGTGCTGTCTCTCTCCTACGATCCCTCGCGGCACCATGCCGTTCCATTCCCACCACTCCAACAATGCGCAGCAGAACTCTCCAGCCGCGGGCATCTTCCAGGCTGCGCAGGCCTTGGGCGCCATCGGGGCGCCCACCGGCAACCTCAGAGTTGCATCGACCGGGCAGACAAACGCAGGGACAGATGCCTTGATGCCTGGCAGTGGGAATGCTCCTGGTGTTCAGTCTCCCACAGGGAATGCATCCAGCAGTCAATCTCATCTCGTAGGCGGAGGTCAAGCGCCGGCTGCCTCAGCTCCACCACAGTCCAACAGTAGCTCTTACGACCCTCTCCGCCGCGCGCCGACCTTAAGGACCGAAGAATTGCATATTCCAACCTCCTCTCATACACCGACAACCGCGCAACACCATCTCCAGCAGCAGCAGCAGCAGCAGCAACAGCAACTCCATCAGCCGCAGCATCAGCACCTGCAGCAGGTGTACAATTCTCCAGACCAGTATTCCACAGGCTCGGCGCCCAACATTGGTCTCCACCAAGCTACCCCACAAGCCTCGCAATACTCCAATCCACCACCACCTGCCTCCGCCGGCGTCCCTGGCAGTCTACAAGCTGGAAACAACCCTCAGCAACACCTGCAACTGCAGCAGCAACTGCAACAACGGCCGGGCCCCTCTTCTGCATACACCGCTCCCTCGACCGTCCCTACTGTGCCCCAGATCAACACCAATGCCCAGCAATATACCCTTCCTACGCGATCCAACACCATGAGTCAATCACAACATCCCTCCTCGCATACCTATTCACGATCAAGCCCTGCCGGTCTAGGGCCAGATCAGAAATACATTCCTTTCTCGAATACCCCAGAGAACCCCAACTCGAAATATGTCGCCGGCACGCCCGCTCAGAAATATTATCCTGCCGGTGCAGCGTCCAATTCACCACTCGGCCTTGCCGACATTCGGCCCCGCGCAAACTCGAACATGGAAGAGTCGGCCATGGTCGGAGGACAGTTCTTCAATGACAGTGATCGCTCACCGTCCAATAGCAATTACCTCGCGCCATGGCCTGTATATGCGTTCGATTGGTGCAAATGGAATGTCCCTCCCGGCAACGGTGCAGGAAAGATGGCTGTCGGAAGCTACCTCGAAGATACGCACAATTTCGTACGTTCTCCCTCCCTTGCTCCTTACCTCATGAGCTTTCCCATGACTGATTGCACTCGCCATAGATCCAAATCATTGATACCCAGCTTTCCCCCCAAGATCCATCCACGCCTGGCGCACCATCGATCGGACTCTCCTACGAAAAGATAGCCGAAGCTACCTGCTCATACCCAGTGACACGCATACTTTGGGAGCCTCCGAGTGGCCAGAAGCAAAGCACCGACTTACTTGCAACAAGTGGAGTAAGGGAAAACATTCCAAAGGTGAAGGTGCATCAGGCTGACAATATTCCAGGACCACTTGCGGCTCTGGTCATTGCCGTCGTCTGCTGGCTCGAATATCAGCAACACAATCACTCGAACATCCTCAGTTAATACCCGAGATCCCGCCCCTCAGAAACTCACTCCTCTTGCACTCCTTTCAAACTCCAAAACTCCTGAACATACCGCACCTCTTACCTCGCTCGATTGGAACACGATGTCCCCGAAGCTCATCATCACGTCGAGCATAGACACAACCTGTACTATATGGGACATTCCCACCCTGACAGCCAAGACACAGCTCATTGCACATGACAAGGAGGTGTTCGACGTGCGCTTCTGTGCTGGTAGTGTGGACGTTTTCGTTAGCTGTGGTGCGGATGGCAGTGTCCGCATGTTTGACCTTCGAAGTCTTGAGCACAGTACTATCATCTACGAGCCCTCCGAAAAATCTCCCAACGACAAAGACAAGGGTAAGGATACATGTCGTTGCAAGTGTTAACGAAAATTGCTCACTAAATCCTTACAGGCTCTCCTGGTCGCATGTCTCCCACCAAGGCCCAGCAGACCATGACCTATGCTCCTCCCCTACTTCGCCTGGCCGCATCTCCACACGACTCTCACCTCTTGGCTACCTTTGCCGCCGACTCCTCTCTCATTCGTATTCTCGATGTTCGACAACCAGGCCAGGCATTGTTAGAACTCCGAGGCCACTCTGCTTCTGTCAATTCGATAGAATGGAATCCTTCACGACGTGGCATGCTTGCATCCGGCGGAGACGATTCTCTTGTTCTCGTCTGGGATCTGCTCCACTCTCAGAACGGCGCGGTTATCAACAGCGAAACTCCTGGATCAATGCAGCCTCAAGCTCAAGTCGCACAGCAGCCAATCAATGGTGGTGCCAACCAACCCACTGCTGGCCAAGGAGGAACCGCGAACCAAAAGGGACCTTACGCAAGCTGGAGGTGCGACTACGAGGTTGGTAATCTAAGCTGGGCACCCCAAAGCGCATTGACTGGACAAGGGGGAGAGTGGGTTGGTGTTTCTGGCGGCAGAGGCATCTGGGGTGTGAAATTATGATTGGGATGTTGACCGTCCGGGTCATACCCAGGCTTTTCTGCCTTTCCTAGTATCAATCGGGGCAATGAGTATTGTATGATTTGACGAATGTTGAGTAAGAACGCGAAACTTCCTTTCAGGACCTGTCTGGAGAAAGACTAAAGAAGCAGGGAATGGGACCCGACTGTGATGCCTCTGACCATCACTGTCTTCCGCCATTCAATTAGCATCATTTTGGAGCGGGGCATTGTGAGCCTTGGAATTTCTTTTATATTGTTTTCTCTAACGGATCTCTTGATACCTCGAATCATATATACCGCATGATTCTCCACTTCTACAACGAATGCTTAGGGAGCTATTATCTCTCCCAGTATCTTTGTCGATTTGGGTAGAATCCGAAAACATTTTCAGCTTTCCTCATCGTGCCTTATCCAAGATTACTATTCGTTGAGTAAATGCTTTACTCACTTGATGATACGCATGGGATATCTATTGCCATTTCCCCAAATCTGGAAGCAGTGTTTGTCGAATATTGTAGGTAGGTGAGGTGGCTCACCTAAGTACCTTGGGTTTCCATATCAAGCTGGCTCTCACTCATGTCCTTCCCTTTCCCTCCCTTATTTACCGCTCGAGTCTGTCCTTGATAACTGAAAGTCGGCACCTTACTTTCAGATCTCGTCTCATGCTAATTCTCTCGTCATGCACAACTTATCTTCACCGTTCACTTCACTAAACTCTCGCCCTTAAATCTGGCACGCCGTCCTTTCACTTTTTTATCACGCGGCAATTGCAACGATGATTATACGTCCTAGTGTACCGCCATGCGTGGTGAAGGTCTTGGCACTTTCACCATCCACATATGTATCTGGATTTGTACGATCTCTTTCGAGTAGCTTCTATCTGACTTGACTTCAACCTAACTGTTGCTTTGAGGATTGTCTGAAAGAGCTGTTTTCTCTTCTCGCAGATCTGTTGCCACATACGATCCGTGTATCATCCATTCATCATGAGCAGTATGTGGAGGCGTAAGGAAGGGATCGCTCACAATATGGGTGTTTTCATGTACCAACCGCCGACGGAGGTTAGGAACGCGGCTATATGTGGTCAAAGGCCACCAATACAGAGGCTTGGGAATGTTCATCATTATCAAGGCATGAAAGGCTCACCTCTATCTAGATAAGACTCTCTTATTAACATATCAGGTCTACTAGAGGCGACAAGCCACAAATCAGATGAGGAGTGTTTCATCGACACCACTGAAGCTGAACCTCCGCTACATACCCCCCAAATCATAAATTCTGGTGTAGCTGAGACTGGCAGTAACCTCGACGATTTTGTTCAGCAGCTCCGCGCAGCTATTGACGAAGAATCCGACAGTGAGGAGTGCGACTCGGTTTCCAATCCTCCCTCCTCCGCACGCCTCACCTCGCAGTCTTCTACGCTGACTTTGTCGACACCACCACCGACAAACGTGGAGCGTGTTGGCGATCCATCAACACCCTGCCCGCGTCGGAATTCTCCTGAGCGTGTAATCGAAAGCGATCATTTTGATCTTCAACAGCAAAGTTTCGTGTCAGAATCTGTCATTCGACGTCCAGACTGGCTAAGGACCCGACGCGATCAAGGCCCAGTAGATTGGGATACCCGTGCTTCGAACACTGAGACGGTCGACATAACACCGAGAGATCTCGATAGAAACTCTAGGCACAATTGGACCGAATCGGAACGCGTCGTGGTCATGGTGTTATATCGATGGTACCAATGTAGCGACAAGGAGTGTTCAACCATCTTCAATGCCATCTACCCGTCCGATACGCCTCTCAGAGGAAACGTCATCAGTGTATGTCCCAAAGCTAATTCGCAGATCGAAGAACGTAAATCTAACCATCACGATAGATACAATTTGAGACACGGGGCAATCATGAGCTCCGGCGCTCCTTCTTCGCAGTGCCTTTTGATGACCCTAATCATCTGCATGCGAACGTAAGGCGGCTAGTAGAGAATGTGAGTTTAAGGTTCTACCAATTGTAATGGAGAGCTAACCTTTCAACCAGACAAGCCAATCTCTTGGGATTGAGCTTCGACACCGATCACTGTTCAACGGTAACATGCACCGAAACGAAGGACTCGTGTCAGAGACCGACCGTCTCGCCTATCTGAGAGGCGATTTCGCCAGGAGCAGCAGCCTACACACGCCGAGATCCACGAGTAGCCCTTGGAGCGGACGTCGAATTCTATACATCGATGACCACGAGGGCTTTAGTGATGTCGAGATTGGGCCATCGCCGACGTTTTCGTTTTCGAGCGAATCGAATGATACCGTCGTTGTCGGCCGATCGGATTTCAACCTTGCGTTCCGTGTGTGGTGTGAAGATACGTCGTGCGTTATACCCACCCACTGGATACGAGAGACATACTGACAGCACGCTTTAGTTACACGCAGTATGATGAAGCTCTGGGGTTCCGTGCTAATCGGTACATCGGCTGTGTGCATGTCCCTGATCCCATAGATCCCGAAACCCAGCCAGACTTGTTCTACAATGAGGTTGCAAGTCACATAAGCAAAACCGGAGGCGCGTCGTCCAGATTCATAAGTGTGGTCAGTATTTCCGAAAATCGATCGACTATTCAGGAACTGACTGTAGACTGTCTAGGTATCTTCATTTATTCAGCTTCTCAAGATCGCCGAAGAAAAGGGAGAAAATTCAAAGATAGCCGCTATAGATCTTGATAGGATCCCGGATAGGTCAGCATACAGAGCATATGATGTCGTAAAAGAGCTCAGAAGGAGATCCTTGTACTCTTTCAGGTACTCAGGTATGAAAATATCCAAATGCAACATAATTACCAGCAGAAGATGCTAACCCGTCACCTCTAGCAAGTGCCGAAACCATTATCTACGGAGAGATTCCCAAAGCAGCCATCCTCGCTATCATCGACTTTTCAGAGTTGAAACGCCTGACACCTAATTGCATCGTGGACTTCTTGAAGCTCCCAATCTTCGCCACAGGATCGGTGCGAACGATAGTACCCCAGCTTCGGGAAATCGGGCACCACGTCGATCCGAACTTCAGCTATGCCTGTGGCAGCATCTCACGCCTTCTCGGACTACATCGAGAAGCCGCCTCTCTCTGTCACATCCAAGAACTCGTTTCGTTCCTCGTAGATGGATGGAGCCTGGTCGTAGAGAGCGATGCCGAGTATCTGAAACTCTGTGCTGACGTGTATACGCAGACGCTTTCGAGTACTATGCACGACGCATCGGACGTCGCGGAAGCGTTTATTGCGGGAGTTAAAGGTGGTGAGGAGAACTTAATGCGTTTTAGTGGTGGATCTGGACAGCGGCGGTCTCGAAAACGAAGGAGAACTTCTTAGCATCTGCAATGCATGCACCAAAGTTACTACAAGTTTAGATGTTGCGTGCGTGCGCTGCGTTTCCCTTTTCTGCTTGCTACGATGAGATATGTTAGCTTGTTATTTTCACTATGATTGTCCCATCTCAGAAGGGCAGCGCAGCAGCGCGTTCTCGTATCTGAGATTTCTTTAGATGTAACTAGTGTTCGAGATGTACTCTTATCTTAGATGGCAAACATGGGAAACGAGGTACTTAATTAAATGCATAGCAAGAGCGTTTCGAAAGCAATAGGAGTTAAGTCTTTGTCGCCCATCTACTAGGGCAGCAGGACTAATCTCCCCCTTTCTTCATTGAGCAACATCACGACGTCAAATTTCAAGAGTGTAGACAGGTAAACTCTTCGTGTAAACGCATTTCTATTTCTTCGCCTCTATGATTATTCATGACGAAGGCATGTGGGGGGGGGGGTATAACATAACGACTACAAAACTACAACGTATTTTCCACAAGAGAACAGGCGCCATGGTGGTGGTGGTGGGAAGGAAGCTCCTTTTGTTTTCTTGTTGTTGTTGTCTGTAGAAAAAAAAAACACTGCTTCTGCCTTCCTGTTCTTTGCTCTTCTTCCTTCTCTCCTCTCTTTACTCACTCCCCTTACTGACGACATCTTGATATATCTTGTTTCTATAAGTTCGGGGGATATCTAGACTCTTGTCTTGTTTCTTTCCGTTTCACTCATCCATCCATCCATACACACCAACATCTTGAAAGCCAGACTTGGAAGACAGTCTCCGCTGCTGCAAAGCTGGCGAAAACAACCCCCCAAAATCGACGAATAGTAACACAACAACAAACGAAGCCAAATTGCAAACCAAACAAACCAAAACAACCTCCTCGCAACCTGCCTGCCCTGCTCAAGTTGTAACGTGATCTTCGGGGGAAGAACGACGAGGGGGGGTTCTTAAACGATGATGGCGAGCACGCTGGTAGGCTGGCCCGAGATCTCGCTGAGCACGATGGTCTGTCCCTTCGTGACGGCCGGGGGCGCGCCGGCAACGGCCTCGACGGTGGGCGTGGGCTCGGTACCGTTGCCGGTGCCCTCGCCGCCGCCGGGGGCGCCAGGCTGGGGCACGGCAGGCGCGGGGAACTGCTCGGCGGTGCCGGCCTTGGTCGCGACTTCGATGAGGTTGACGCCCATGTCGAGGTCGGCCTGCGTGTAGCGCGCGTTGAACCCCACGATCGCCTTCATCGCGTTGTAGATGTCAACGGGCATGTCCATGGGGTTCTGGGCGATCAGGAAGGTGACGCCCCCGGCGCAGGGAGGCGTCGTGAGAGATCCAGAGTATTGGTAGAGAGGGCTGTCCTGGACGTGCTGGACGAGGCCGGCGAAGTCGAGGCCGCCCTCGATGGCCGTCTTGGTGCCGGGGTTGGCGATGGCCTGGAGATGGGGTTGCAGCCCGGTGAGGAGTGGGTTGGAGGCAGCATCGGCCGACATTTGGAACAGAACGGATATGACGGCGATGGTGTTGGGGTCGGCTGTTAAGAGGGTCTGGTCAGCTATCATGTTCAATGCTATAGGTGCGCTTGCATATATGCGTTTCAGACTTGGCTTCGGGTTTTGTGATGCGGGTGAATGTCAAAACGGAAAGCTTGTGTCAAACAGGGGCTATAGGTAGGTGCCACCACGATGAATGCATCGTACTCTAGCATTGCTAGAGGAGGAGATGGACTTCACCGGTTGAATACGGTCAGTTGGGTTTACTTACTGCGGGCTTCGTGCACAATGTGCATCTCAGCAGGATAGTATTCGCCGTTGACGAGATGCTCGCCAGGGAAATGGAAGTGAGCCTGCTTGATGACCAAGTCCTGGTCAGCGATCTTGGTCGTGCCATTGATGACAAGCTCAACGGTGGTGCCCAAGTTCTCAAACTCGACGGCCTGCTGAGGGATATCGATTGTCGGTTTGTCGGCTGAAATGGGAATGACACCATCCACTGTTCAAACGTGGTGTTAGCTAGCTGGCTTCATCACATATTGAATTGCAACCCTTATCATGTCTTGAGGGGAAAGCTTACCAACGTTGATGGGCGATTGCGTGGTTCCACTCTTGCACTCCTCGTTCTCGGGAGCAATGGATGCCCAGTTGAGGGGACCGATTAGACCAGTGTATCCGAACTGGCCGACCTGAACGACACCCTCCTCACCCTCTGCACGCTTGAACTTGCTGAGCCCAGAGAGGCAAGTAGCCGAAGCCGTTCCGGCAAGAAGAAGAGACTTGAAAAGCATGATTGACTGAGATGTGTCTGTTGACTGGATGTGCTGTGGTGGTGGTGCTTGTCGTCAAGTGATTATAGATATGTAAACCTTTATAAAGGACACCGGAATAGAACAGCGGGCTTGTATGGGGAAAGAGTAGAAAAAGAAAGGAAGCTGAAGTGTATATCAAAGCTCGATCGGTTCCCGTATATGAGGATTTCAGCTGCTAGATATAACCACAAGCGGTAATAATCAGTGCTACGCTCTGCGTGCACGTCAATTAGAAATCGAAAAGAATAAGGCCGCAGGATCGACCTAGCTAAGCCTTGGATATGAAGTGTTGATAGAAGAGGGCGTGGAAAAGAAACGAAGCACCCAAACAGCGAGAGGCGAAGCAAACTCCAAAGAAGGTAATCGGTAAAGGTAAGAGAGAGAGAGAGAGGGAAACAAAGTGGGATCACTAAGAGCTGATATATAGACTCAGCACGTTAAAATGCGCCTCAGATCTGATGCATTCACGGTGCCTCCGTGCTCCCAGAATACACAACTACATTGTGTTTTGCGTATGCGTCTTGTCAGCCAAGCGGCGGCTGCAGAGCCAAGTCATACACACAAGAGAATCCGGGCGGTCCTCTAGGCTTTAGGGAGCGTTGAAAAGACTCGGTATCCGGGGTTTTGTGTAGGTGCGTAGCTGGCCAGGGGTGTGAAATGGCCTGAGGCCAAGACAAAGTCCGCTGGGAGGAGCTTAGCAGGGTCGGCAGGGTTTGGCATACCGCTCAGCGGGAGTCAAGCATTTTGTGATGGATGCTTAGGAATCCCTGCTTTACATGGCAAGTTGGGGGAACGGGGCATTGACGTCCTGGACAAACGTCGCTCTGGGGTCTAGTGGCTTCGACGAAAGAAGTAAGTCGTTTGAAGATCCGCGTCTCGGGCAACTTGATTGTACTCTTCTCGTAGAATGAAAATCATTGCATGTTCCTGATAAAGATCCGCATCGATTACTTCTGAACTTGGGTGCCGAGGGGACATGTCAACACGAAGCGAAATGCTTAGCCTCATGTCACCAACCCGGTTTCCCCCAAATACATGTTCAGATGCAGACAGCATGCTTTCATGATTTGCATCATTGCTCTTCGATGACCGATGGATTTCTGCATGTCCCAGAGCCTCGGGGGAAGATCCATAGACGAATACGAAATGCTTCTTTTGCGTCGAAGATTGGTGATTGTCTGAAACGCATGTGGAAACAGCTTGACACGCATGGGAAGCAGGCAAATGGACGAGACTGGACAGACCCTGGGGGTAGTCGACGAAAAATGATCCGATTCTTTGCCCTATCCTTTCTGTTCGCGAGTTCGTAATTGGCCCCCCGACCACTAACCCTGCCCATTCTGTGACAACATGACAGACCCTGGGACCTGGATGAGGTCTACTATACCGAGAAGGGGAAGAAAGGGGAAAGGAAAATGCTGGACAGTAGAAGGGATTTGACGTATCAGAGTCGGCCAGTGTCCCTGGTTGAGAGGAGATCAAGCGTTCGCCCACAAGTATTCAGATGTCACTGTCATTTCAGCAGCAATTAGTGCCATTATTGAGTGATTAGTATTCTGTCTTGGGGGTTGTCGTCGTAAAACTACCTAGGCAGGTGGATAGAAGATGATACTATAATAGTAGGTGAGCCAAGACTTGGGAGTCCAGAATTCTCCCTCCTCTCAGCGGAAAACCCACGTTCCCACGCTAAAGTCCCTCCAAACGCTCTCCACCCCCCGTAAAATCAGCCCACTTCTAAAACAAAAGAGCCTCAGATTTAGGGGAAATCGTGGGTTTCGTCACCGACTGTGGCTTTTTTAATTGCCTCGATATTCCTCCCCTTCTCTCAAATTACGCCGTAGCTTTATTAAACCCCCTCTCGCCCCCTCTCTAGGCGCCTCTCGGTTTTCCTCCCTAAAAGTCTCATGTATTCTTTGACTGACTTGGCAGTATGGCTATGTAGTCTTTGCATTTGTAACTACCACACAGTAGAGAAAGGCATTCTTACATCCTGGACCTGGACCTGGACCTGGACCTGAATCTGGACCTGAAAGGACCTGTGTTGCTGACCGAGGCACGTGTTGCCCTCCTTCTCGACAATACGCCTAGTTCATACGAGGTCGCTGGTTTAGTTCTGGGATGCGGACTGTAGATCTAACAACATCCCAATCCCGGACACTACCTACTGGTGCGTACTCGTCGCCCTTTCCTTTCGAAGAGGGGGACGACTCGGGCCAGCTCACTCTGCCTACTGTCACGGATGCAGACGTGGGCGTGCTCTTGGTCGTGGATGTATGGGCTCAGCAACAGTCATCTTGCGCAGAAGGAGAGGTCTCAGCAGCAGCAGCAGCAGCAGCAGCAGCCCGCCACCGGTATAGAAATTACTGGTTCCAGCAATCTTACCGAGCGTAGGAGTTGTTTTCCGTATGAGCGACGCGTACATGATTGAGGCGATGCTGACAGGCGAAATGACGGCGGCAAGACTCCAAGACTCCGCAAGAGAATCAAGGAACAACCAGCGCAGGTGATGATGAGGAAATAGTAAAAGAGTAATTATTGATATATTGCGCCGACTGCCTAGAGAAAGGACAAGACGTTGGTCGACCGTTGAGCATTCGGACCGAGACTTGTTTACTGACCCCAAGAGTATTTGCTTTGCACTTTGCACTGACTTGCAATTGGCCGGCCGATCCGGCAGGTAAAGAGCGATGGCCCACGCGACGAAGATATACCTACAGTGGAGTGGATACTTGTATTGTAGCTTGTCAAACAGTATCCCGGCCAGTAGGAATATGCGCCGAGTCCATAGCTTACAGTTGTTTGAACATCTTGCTATCTACGGAGTACACACGCACTGTACAACAGTACCTGAAACACGCGATCAACAGATACGAACAAGCGCACATCTTCGCCATATTTTACAGTCGAAACCCGCGAATAGCGAATAGTATCGCACGCATTGTAGGCTTGCCGCTGTTCCAACGCAAATCGGCATAACTACACAGTACTGGTCACCGGCATAATCTCAAACATAGGAGAACTAGAGGGATTACTTTGCGATTGAAGCTCTACCACTGCATTCCCCGACAAGAACGACACACCCGCAACTCATTTCTATATGTGCTACTAGACCGCAATCTCGGGCGTTCTTGGGAAATATACTGGCGCAGACGCCGTTGTTTGCACCCACCAACCTGCAAAACGCCAACCAATGTCCATGTCTCCTGTATCATTTCAACAATAACGAGTGTCCAACGAGTTTGGCTGCAAGGCTCCAATCCAGAGATGCATCAAACAGAATTCGAAGAAGAGGAGCTGCCAGGAAAGGAGAATCTCTTCTTCATCCTGCTTCGAAAACCTTCTGGAATCCGCTTGGAACTTGGCCCATGATCAATATATTGGTAATTGTACCCTGCGCTGATGTCTCCAGGATAATTGGAAGCTGCTTGTGGGAGGGTAGACTCCCATAATGCCCGGTTCTCTGCCGCCTGATCCTTTCTGTCATACGGAAATGTAGACATACCATCCACAGCACCTCCTTGTAGAGGCATTGAATTCGAAATAGCGTTGTTGGAAGTCATAGAGCTTGCCTCGCTATTTGAAGAATGCCCAGCAGCCTGTATGCGCATCTGCTTCGACACGACTATGTGATTGCGCCTGGCTTCCCCTGTATAATTTTGCGATTGCGACTGCGATTGTGATTTTCGACGATCTTCGTCTCTGCCCATTGCTTCGCCTCGATAAAATCCCTGCACTTGTCCGTCCCTACTGCTGTGTCTTGCTTTCGTATCGAAATAGTCTGTGCCTCCTTCGCGGGGGGCTCCTGTATTAACGGGTAAACAACCATTTTCATCTTCGATGTCATCTTCCTAAACACAAAGAAAGTCAATTTAGTAACTCTGAGGATATTGGTTGGCAGGCTGCAAGGTAAAAGTCAGTCCATAGAGTCGACATATGCGATCCATGACGTTGACTTGGAGGTTTTTCCAAGTCGGTCATGTCAGTTGATACATACTGGTGAGTTGAGCATGCTATGCCGCTTGTTCCTGCTCTTCTTGATATGACTCTTCAGTTGGCTCGAGTCAAGGGGTTTCAGAAGCTCGAAGCTACACAGAAGCTCCGATGACACAGACATGACTGCCCCCCAATTATCAAATTCTCCACAATACTGTAGCTTTCAGTCAGTTCCTTGGTACTTCAGAACGATCTTTCGTTATCACTTACGTTGGGTGCAGAAAATACAGTGACGAGTACACGATCGCTGAAGAACTCATAACCGTCTTCAACAACCATGTGGGCTCTACAGACCAGATCGAAGTCGTGGCGCTGTAGAAATTCCATGATGACCTTCTTGCCGAAGCAATAACTCACACCACGCTCGTTCGACTCCCAGTCATTCTCCATATCTGCGGGGTCGCTCCATAGCAGATCGTTCAACAATCCATAATCGGGAACGTCTGTGGGACGAGCGATTTGTCGAATATCGTCCATGTGCGAGAGGCTAGGAGACAAACCACCATGCACGCAAAAGATTTTTTGGGCAACGATGGCTGCGATGGGAAGAGTGTTGAAAGTATCGACAAAGGCTTTCCAGACTTTGATATTACACCTTCGCTTGCATTCGTCATAAAATCCGTATACTCGCGTTACATTCGCACACTCGTGGTTTCCTCGCAGAAGGAAGAAGTTCTCCGGGAACTTGAGTTTGTAGCACAACAACAGGAGGATGGTTTCGAGACTTTGCTTTCCGCGGTCCACATAGTCTCCTAGGAAAAGATAGTTGGAATTCGGCGGGAAACCACACATCTCGAACATACGAATGAGATCTGTATATTGCCCATGTACATCGCCTACGATCTTCACCGGAGCAGAAAGCTCCAATAGTGAAGGCTGGTTGAGGAACACCTCTCGTGCGGCCGCGCAGATCGCAAATATCTCAGCATTCTTAAGACAGACAGTCTTCGTGACCTTGCCCGTGTATGCGGCATCCAGCAACCTCTGAATCATATCGTCCAAATCTGACGGCTTGAGCGCGCTTGTCTCCATTGGGGAGCCCGCCCCATCGTTCTGTGCAGGCACATCGGGAATACGCGGTATCGGTTGACCTTTCTTCTGTAGGATGGAATCTCCGGGTTGCTGTGCACTCGATGGAGGGGGTACACCGATTGGGGGGGCGTCAGAGACATGGTCGACCTCACCAGTCTGCTTGGCTTTGTCTACATGGTCATGGTTCGTGCCGAGGGCGCCGTGGACGGGGGAGGGGGGAGGTTGTGGATAATCGTTCTTCGCAGCGGTTTCGATCGCAGCTACCTGAGCGGAGGCAGTCGAGTCTCGCCGGGAGCGAGATTTGGTGGAGGCACTGTCGGACTTGTCTAAGCCATTAGTATCACCGATGTTCGCGACAGAGTTTCTCGGGCTGTCAGTCTTGCCAGAGCCTGGGATCTTAGATCTGATGGAGCTGCGGATTGATCGGGTTGACTCTTTGGTGTCGGCCCTTTCGAATGATCGATACTGTTCTCTTTCCAACGATAGACCGTCGGGTCCGGCTTTATCCCCCTTCTCTTTTCGGTTGCTGGAGGGCTGGTTACCCATGTTGCCAGGCTGTCAATACGACGACCTCCAAAACCGATCTACGATGTTGTATTCGGTCTGGCGATCCTGTGTGTAGCGCTTCAACGAGGGACTGTAAATGTGCTACCAAAGAACGAGGCGTAGTTGTTCTGTAGCGACCCGGCTCGAGTTCTCGCAGAGGACGGGATGATCGTGACACTTGGATGAATGGGACTTGGCGTGAGGATGTGTTGGGGCGAGAGGTTTGTGTGTTGTGGCGGTGCAGATGCAGAAGGAGCGACAGTGGATGATGGTGTCCTTCCTTCTCTGTTTCCTAGAAACGGAAGCGCAGATGCAGGTGAGCAAGATGTGAGGTGGCGGAATCTGGCGGAGGGTCGTTATGGCGGCCGGTAGAGGCGCGAGAGGAAGGCGAGAAACCTGGCCTCAGTTGGAGCGGAATCGATCTGCTTCGCCGGTGTCTGACCACGCCAGTGAGAAGAGGAGATGGGTGACAGGGCGGGCGGGGGGCTGGAATCTCGTCTTCGAGCCAGAGCGATGGTGTTGTTTTCAGCGCTGAGGTCAGAGAAGGCTCATGGATGGGGTGGACGGGTAGATAGATACGAGCAGGATAGGGTAAGGTAGGTAGCAGGTGATGGCAGTCGTAGTGACCTCAAGCTCTAGGTAGAAGGCGGGGACAGAGCTAGCGACTGAGCAGTCCGGTAAGCCGCAGATTAGTTGGGCCTTAGTTTAGGTTTTGCAGGGAACAACGAGAGAGCAGCGCTGCGAACGCTTGCCTTGCACGCCGGCTTGAGTGGCTGGGGCTGGCGAGAGGCGCCTACCACGATCAGAGGAACAGCGCCGTCACGGACCGGTGAATGATGAGAAACCTTTTATTAGGCAGATCGCGCCAGCCTGATAGTGGGAGTAGTGATGTTGGTTGTAGTAGGCAGTACCTAGTGGTGTAGTCGAGGTCGAGATGTAGACGATCACGAGCTAACAATTACGGGCGGAGTAATGTATCTGTAGTGTATACTGTAATGCACACGAGGAGGCGAATCAGAAGATGGAAAGCGAGGCGATCTTGAGGAGAAGGAGGAATGAAGGGGGGACGGAAGAGACGAGAAGAAGGAGAGGGAGAGAGAGGAAACTGGACACCCAAGTGCAGCCGAAGCAACAACGAAGCCCGACTAGTGGTGGTGGATGCAGCTGGGCAAAAGTAGGAGATGAAGCAGATGGGAGGTGGTTGAAGGAGTTTGTATGTAGGTATGGAGGAGATGAGACACTAATATGAGTCCACAAATACGAGTATGTTCGCTCTGGTATGATGTCGGTCAGTGAGGGTAAGGGTAAGGAGGGGAAGAAGAAGAAGAAGAGAGAAGAGGAAGAAGAGTAGGAGGAGAGAGAGAGTGTGTGTTATTCACCATAGTTACTGGTTGAAGGTGAACAGAATACCTCGCCAAGCATGGTGATTGCGCCAATCGGGCTTAGCGCCATGTGGCTATCTTTGCGGCGACGCAGCAATCACGAGGAGATTTCCACCCCCATCATTCATCACCATCATCATATGAATCAACTCAACCTTACACCTACTCGTACTTTTGTCTCTGTGATATCCACCTAATGTGATTATCGCAGTTACTCAGACTACTTGTACAGAATCATCAATGGCATACACACAAGTCAATCATGCCCGCCAATGCCCGCATCCTTTGCAACCAGTTAGCTTCATTCGGATTCTCTAGTTATACATGACAATGCAAGCCTCAGCTCCACCACAGCTCCTCCACCAAGCTTGCCTCCGACTATCTACCTAGGTACCTACTACAAGTCCAGGTCCTTGTACCAAACCTCCCACCCCACATCAGATTCAACAATGAACTCCCCCCCTGGAATGTGTATCAATATTTTGTGCTTCTTTGTTCACTTATCGATCCCTTCCTAATCGTTACATCCGTCTGGCTTGCGCATTCACGTCCCGTTCCAACCGTCTCCGCCGCCTCCGCCGCCGCCACACCAAGAAACCATACATCTTTGATAACTAGATACCTGAGGAGGTATGACTGAGCAAGCCTGACGGAAACCTTCCCTTCCCTCAATGTTGCATCCCTCTCACCGCAGTCCCGCAACAGCATAGTCTCGTCGCAACACACAATTACATAGGACACAGGTTGACACATGCGCTTCGCTACTTGTATTGGGCAGAACCTTTCCAGCGCCCAATTGCACCTTGCCCGTCACACCATCATTTGAATTATTCGCGCAAGAAATTCTTCGCATCTTGGACGCTTGTTTGCGTTGCATCCACCGCAGTGAGGTATTTGCAGCCTCGCTGCCCAAACGAGACGGCCCTTTCTTGACATGGAAATTCCCTCATCACCAATTGCCGATGAACATGTACCTGCATATCACACTAATGTCACCAAACTCTTGTCAACGAACTACGGAGTACTCGTATCGAATTCGAAATGATGTCTGTTGTCTTTTTGGTATATACTCCCCTCCGGATATCTATCCAAAGACGATGCACGATCTAGCGCCCAAGTCCCAAGACCTCCCAAGGGCTCGGCTCCCGACGACGAGGCTTTGGATTTCCAGCTCATTCCAGCGCTATGTACCTCGTTGCACCGGTGCGTCATGCGCCTACCTACAGAAAACGCCGCATTCTGGAATACAGTGCAGACAGTCTGGGCCTCGACGGAGGTAGAGGCTACAAACACTCGCCCTACTCCCTACACAGTGCAATAATCATTCACACATAATTTACAATCTGTTGCCGAGGTTTACGTGCACCGCCTGTAGCAAAGTTTCATGGTTAGCACCCGATAGAAAAAGCATTGATCTAGGAATTGCTGCTCTTACCTTTTTGTTTGTGTATGCCTCGAGGCCTGCCTCACCCAACTCCCGGCCGATGCCACTTTGCTTTACACCTCCGAACGGGACACGTATGTCGGAATCGTTGCTGGAGTTGATCCAGACCATACCGGCCTCGATCAAGCGCGCAAGACGGTGACCTTTGGTGATGTCCTGTGTGAAGACGGCAGCACCCAGTCCATATGTCGTGTCATTGGCCCTTTGGATCGCTTCCTCCTCAGTCTTGAACGAGCTAATCACCACAAATGGTCCAAAGACCTCCTCGCGGTAAATCTTCATATCATCCTTGACATTGGTGAAGATGGTAGGCGACACAAAGAAACCCTTTCCACCGACATTCTTGTATGCCTCTCCGCCCGCCACAAGTGTCGCGCCTTCCTTCTTGCCCGCGTCAATGTATGATAGAACTCTCTCGAATTGCGTCTTGGTGACCTGAGGGCCCTGGAAGGTGTCGTCCTTGAAGGGATCGCCAACCACGCTCGTCTCCGAGACGTGCTTCTTGAAGCCCTCGATGAACTTGTCGTATACACCCTCCTGAACCAGAATTCGTGATGTGGCCGTGCAGACTTGTCCCTGGTTGTACATGATTCCAACGTGTGCCCACTTGACGGCTTGATCGAGATCGGCGTCATCGAAGACGACTAATGGTGACTTACCACCTGTCTCTAGGGTAATATTTTTCATGTTCACAGCCGCCATCTTCATGATCTCCTTTCCGGTTGCCGTGGATCCAGTAAACGCAATCTTGTCAACATCAAGATGCTGTGCAAGTGCTGCTCCCGCTTTTCGGCCTTCGCCGTTGAGGATGTTGATGACACCAGGCGGGAACCCTGCATCCTTGACGAGGGTAGCTAGATACAATATAGATAGAGGTGTTTGCTCTGCTGCTTTCATGACTACAGTATTTCCTGTGGCCAGGGCGGGGCCCAATTTCCAAGCTGCCATCGCCAATGGGAAGTTCCATCTGCATCGAATGAGAGCAAGTCTTGTAGGAAAACTCACGACAAATCACTTACGGAATAATTTGTGCACAAACGCCCAATGGCTCGCGAATAGTGTATGCGAGCTTAGCTGGAGAAGTCTCAATGACTTGACCGTGGATTTTGTCGGCATAGCCTGCGTAGTACTTGATAGTTCCAATAACTTCGCCTAGGTCATCATTCAGCGAGACAGAAAACGGTTTTCCGTTATCCCACGTCTCAATTGCGGCAAGTGTCTCCCTGTGCTGCTCGATGAGCTCGGCGAACTTGAAGAGGATGGCTCCACGGGCGGTGGAATCAAGATCCCGCCACGAGGGATCCTTGAAAGCCTTCCTAGCTGCCGCAACCGCAACGTGTACGTCTTCGGGCCCGGCGGCATACACGGTCGTGATCTCGCTCTCGTCACTGAAAGAGATATCAGCTAACATGTTTCGGCGTCGCGGTGCGCTTGACATGGTTGCTCACCTGGGGTTTGTCGAGCTTATGGTCTCGCCGGACTTGGACTTCACAAACTCATTGTTGATGAAGAGACCCCGTGGCTGCTTATAAGTCTTGCCATTGGGAGTCTTGAGCTCCACGAACAGGTCAGACATGATGCTGTACGTTCTTGATGCTGTGTAGCTCTTTGTTGGGGTTACCACGCGAGGGAGCGGCCGGACCTGTGGGAAGGAGAGTCGAGGTAGGAAAGATGAAGAAGCTGTGGGAGAGCAGCAGCAGTGGCGGGGCAGACGATTAAACATATTTCCCCCAACTGGCGACGGGCAAGCAGGCAGGTGGGAGGCAGACTACTCTAGTAACAGATTATCAATCGTCTTTACCCTGACAACGCCAGAGCTCTCCAAATCTGTGATAAGTACGCGTTTAGTAGCATGCGGGACCTACCTCATCGACCCCGCGATTTGACGCCAGCGCAGATTGATGCTATCATCGGGTACGATTGCCGTACAACGTTAGCAGCCACCATAGGCTTCGGTCCTATACTCCCCATAACCAATTCCATCGCTCAGTCCTTCCTTTTGCGGTTTTGTCGACATGGATGATGGATCCTCGAGATGGTTTGGTCCCTCCATGCATCATGGCAGATGCAGTTGATACTGCAAGCGCGCGTCAAGCGCGATTAGCCGTCGCCCTGTGTGTGTCCTCGCTACTAATTTGATTATTTTGCCGTCAGCGACATTTTTCGGTGCGGTATGTACTCGACGACGCGACACGCTGCAACTCAATCCCTCCCGTATCGGTCTCCCAGCTGAATACGCTCCAGCACAGTGTTCACTCAATAGCGCAAGTTCACAGTCTGCAACGACCCGCACGCGCACATAATGGGCAATGAAAGCGACCCACCCCTCGTCTCCCCGGCTGCGCCAGACAGCTCCATAGATCATGCGCACTCGATCGAGTACTGGAACTCCGTATCTTCGGACATAAACGGCATGCTGGGCGGGTTTCCACAGACGTCTCGGATCGACCTGCAAGGCTCGTCCAACTTCCTTGTGAAATTCCGGCGCGGGAAGCAGCGAGCGGTCAAACAGAACCTCCCGTCTATCGGTCGCGCTGCAGACTGTGGGGCTGGAATCGGGAGGATAACGAAGGGGCTACTCATGGGCGTTTCGAGTAAGGTCGATATTATCGAACCGGTGAAGAAGTTCACGGACGAATTTATGGTCAGTCTCCAGGAGGAAGAGAAGGACAAGGTGGGGGTGATCGTGAATCTTGGTTTACAGGATTGGGTGCCAGAGCCTGGAGCATATGGCTTGATATGGAATCAGTGGTGTCTAGGGCATCTTACGGATGCCCAAGTTGTGGCTTATCTACGGCGGTGCAGTGACGGCTTGGTGAAGAGCTCCGCTGGTGCTGGAGCCACTTCTCAAGGTGGTATGCAACAAGGATGGATAGTAGTCAAAGAGAATATGTCTGCAACCATCAATGACAGCGATATATACGATGATGAAGATTCGAGTGTAACGAGATCGGATACAAACTTTAGGCGGCTGTTCAAAGAAGCTGGATTGAAGATCGTAGCGGAAGAAGTTCAACGCGGTTTCCCAAAGGGCCTGTTCACCGTGCGAATGTATGCTTTGCAGCCAGAATAGATTGCTATTCGGAGTTCCTTTGTCGGCGTTTTGGAAGTGGGTTGGCGGCATAAAGGTTGTGATACCCAGTATAATCAACTATTATATCCATTCTTCGTCCGTGCAACACTACGCAATCGAATATATACATAATACATGTGTTGGAGGCGCGAACTATAGAAAGGTATCTCTATGAACCTCGAAATCTCCGTGAATGATGGTATCATAATAACGCCAGCCCAATGCCGCTATCCCGAATAACTACGATGACCGAACAAGGAAGCTCTATGCGTGCACTCCAGGAGGTATTATAGATGCCCCTGTGCTAACGAACTTCAAAATCGCACCCAGTGGCAACGGTGCAGGTTGTTTAACGTCATCGCCAGACCCCGTTTCAGAAGCAGGCGTTGACTCGAGTTCGTCGACCATTCCAATGTCTCTGCGAATGGCATCTAAAGCCGCAGCATCTTCGTCGCCAGACTCATCGCCATCGTCATAGTCTCCCGAAAGAGCTTTCGTAAAGGCGGAAATGGTTGCATAGGCCGTTGCTGGCGCTTCAGCCCATAGAGCCGTCAAATCGTCTTCATCCATAGGTACCTTGACCCTCTTAATGCCACCGAATTCGTCTTCATAGTCGGACCTATTCTCTTTAATCACTTCGGTCTTCCCAAGCATTAAGAGCCACTCTTCAGGCACACGACAGAACTCAGATGCTGCACGCAAACGCTCCTCGACCCACTTCTCCTCATCCGGACTGGGCTTCTTTCGCAAGATGGTCTCCAGAACGAATCGCTGCTCCTCGGCGGGGAACGGCGCGACTGGGTAAGTCCGCAGTGCCGAGAGAATTTGGCTCCGTGATAGGTCATCTTCGTTTTTATCCTTGAAGAAGTCGTGCAGGTTTTTGAGCTGAGCGTTGATCAGGCTTATAGATCGATGCATATTCGGCCTAGAACACTGTTAATATTTCTGATTCATCGACCGTACAAAGGATTTATATGGCGCATTCTGCATTGTCTTGATTGATATGGCGAGTCTCGTCGAAAGAGTGAAACCTCCTCCATGACCAGCACTTATCTCGACAACATGCGATGGAAACCTGCTACTATGGATTGAGCAGGTGCTACAACATACCAAGGTGGGGGGTGTTCTCCACTGTGTATCATGGCACTTTGCAGCTCTTCTATGACCCTGCTCAACCGCATTAATCTCCCACGGAGCTGCTCCAACGTCCTGACATCATCAGGTGCCAGGTTGAGCCCCGAATTTTGTATTGCTTGACTCATTTCAATATTCACCCTATGATCCCAACTAGCGGGTCTAATGATTGGGTTGCGTCTGAATTGTTTCGCAGTCAAAGAGTCGATAAGTTTCAGGTATTGAAAGACAATTGGTGTTACTCGAAAGATCCGCGGGAAGCGGGACCTGTTCCCTATTGACGAAATGCTTGGCGCTCATCGCTCCGAAAGTCCACTCAACCAATTGTACGAGGCTTCGGTGACAAGGCCCACGGGTATCTACTTCTCAACAACCATGGTCGGAAAGAGTCACTTCACTGTTTGCCACCCCCGTTCTATTTCAAGGTGATTGATCGGGTCAACCTTGTAGCACAAGGTAAGTGCACGTGTCACTAAGACTTTCGTTCCTTTCAGATCACCAACTTGTGGAGTGCATCTCTACAAATCTAGACTGATCTCAAGTACGGAGCATTCATTTGAATCTTTAGAAGATGCAAAATCAACATGAAAGCAATGTTGAATATGCTCAAATTTGGAAAGGAATGCGGTGACCCAAAGTGCCAATTACACCGGGTTTCAGCCAAGGAATCTTTAAATGTTTTGTGTCGCCTCGAAATCACTGTGGCACCTGAAAACGTACCTCGAGGTAATTCTAAGCGTTCAATGCCAATCTCCCGTGGGCTTTGGGGAGTGAATCACAAAACATTTCTGTATGTTAAATTGGCCATTTGCTTGTACGTTCACCAAGATCCACCTCTAGGTAATTGAGAGAACTCCCAGTGCCATGTGCCTGGGGCCGTGCCAGTGTTATTTCATCCACTCACTTCCATGTGAATCACCGCCTCATAATGGTAATGCCCAGACACAATCAATTATTGAATTGGCGGTGACAACTGTTATTGTCCAGTTACACTTGACCAGGTCGAATCATGGTATCTATGCACACGTACAACCCACCTATTCAGCTCCTCAACCTAGTTCCTCTTCTCAACCTGGTTCCTCTTCTCAACCCGGTTCCTCTTCTCAACCTGTTCCCTCTTCTCAACCTGTTACCCTCTTCTCAACCTGTTCCCTCTTCTCAACCTGTTACCCTCTTCTCAACCTGTTACCCTCTTC